AATTTAAAAAAAAAATATATATATATATATTTAACTTTTCCGATTTTATTTTCACCATTCACTTTAATCAAAATTGGGATCCCTGTAATTTGATAAGATGTTATAAATTAATGGGTATTGGAAATTATATTGAATAAACCGAAATCAGTGAATTTTTCAAAAACTGCCTGACAGAAATCGGTTACCTTTGGAAACATCAAATTTCTTGAATAAGAATCGATATCATTATTTAAGAAAAAAAAAAGTTTTGTGGTTTTACGACGTGAAAGCTGGAGCGGGTTTCAATTTTTTTTTCATTATCTTTGGCAGGTCCATGCATGAAGCTAAGTTAAGAAGAATCCCAGATTTAAGCCAAAATCCCAATCTTTTATATCTGTAAGTATTGAGGGCCATTGTCATCTTACATAATATTGTATTCTTTATCATGTCATTTATGTTTAAAAGATTTCTAAATCAAGGATATATTTCAGCTTCGTATCTAAAAACAGAATAAAGTATATAAAAGACGGAGCATTCTTGTTCAACTCAAAACTAGAGCAATTGTAAGTATGTCTAAAAGGAATGGCTAATGAATAAGAGTGATTGATGTAAATAAATGATAAATAATCGAGTAACCAATGGCAATTTGGCTGATAGTCACAACCATCAGGTTGGAACTGATAAGTGGCCATGGCGAGGTGGGTTTAGCAAATAGAGGTCTATTTTCTAAGGCCCATGTGCTGCTTTCGAACATGTAGTGGCGTTAGCATTCGATCCAAACTCAAGTGGAACCATGAGTGCAGCGAGGTTTTGTTTTTTAACGTTTTTTATTGATTAAAATTGAAAGAGCACGCGCTCGTGGACGTCAGCTTATTGATCTGTCCCCCTATCGACCATAGAAAAATACAATAACCAATAAGCGAACGGATGATAAACAATTTCTGATAAAAGGATATTTGTAAGCCTGGGTAGAGAAATAGCCATAAATTAAATAATAGCTGTTATTACAGTTCAGCCCGTATGAGAAATTCTTTGGTTTTAAGTATGATGCAAGTAAGGCTAGCGGGCCGATACAATGCTTGTTGTCTCATCTGCAACTCATTTGCATGCGTCCATAATAACTGCTATTAAATGTCGTGACTTGTAAGCGATGATATAAATAGGTAATTGTAGGCTGGGTTTAACTTTATTTGGTTATATCATATTTGTTTGATTATGCTTTTTATAAGTCAAGTAATATTACCGAGCTGTCGACCGATTCAATTTTGTTTTAGAATGATGAATAGCAACAATATTGAAATCCTAACAAACGAAAGCTTTACCGGTGCAACAAGTCTAGAAACAATGTAAGTATAGTAAATCATGGGCTGTAGGAGAATATTTGGTTTGTGACTGGGAAAATGCTGGTCAGTAGACCGAATAAATCAGTGATTACTCACTTGGATCTGTCTATCCGTGTTTTATTACGAATTATTACGAATATTATGAATAAACACATCAGACAAAATCTGTTAACATTTGGTCAGCTACGATTTCTAGCTCACGCCCCCTCATGTAAGCCCATACAAATCATGTCTCAAAAACACGGTTTTTGAATCTTTTCTAAAAATAATGACTATCTAGGCAAAAAACAGAAGTGGATTCAGTTAATTCAACTATTCACGGACTGTATTATATGGTTTAGATTGAATTCTATTGGAAAAAAACACCGTATTTTTTGAGTTGAATGTACGCTATTATATGTATTTTACAAGAGAAAATCCATGACATAACCGGGGTCAAGCTAGAAAATCGTTTCTCCTTGAAATAAAACAGAACCTGTACATTTTGGTATATAACTCATAGGAATTTGTTAAAATTTAGAACCATATTTTTGCTGATTTCATAAGCTCATGCTATCAAACATAAAAAATACTTCATTAAAACAGGGAGTCCAGTTTCTGTTGTATTTTCTTTTTACTAAATATTAAGAGGGTAGGCCCAAAGTGCGTCGCCACCCTCTCAATCAATGAGATGTATGGATTGTTTACCACGTGATCACTTTGAATTGCTTTGAGCTCGATGCCAGTTGTTTCGTCATCATATGGCCTCGTTTCAGCCGGTTTTAAGGGTCCAAAATTCGTTTTGCAAACTCCTTTGAAAACAACAATCTACTGAATTAGTTTAATTTAATGCGCGCGCACATATGCCATGATTTGATCGCTTTTTTCTTTGTCAATATGTAACGTTTTTCATTTCCCTGAGGATGGTCGAGTAGGCCGAAAGCTCGGAACATATGTATTAAATCTATGGTTGATAAGACAAATTATTATGAATGTAACAACAACCAACAAGAAACTATTTCATTTAACAATCTACTGTTCTTGTCGTTGTCGTCAATTAAAACGTTCTCGATCCCAATACAAGTATTGCTTTTTATGTAGTGTTTAAAAAACGAGTAGGTGCATTTTATCAGGTATAAAAGCACGAGGCGTAGCCGAAATAATTCTATGTTACAAATAATTAGAAAACACAGACCGACAGACAGACAGACAGTCAGACAGATCGATCGATTCTATCGATCATACAAAAACATCTTTAATAATCAAAATAATTAAATCCATCATAATTTCTTTTTTCGTCCAATTGTATAATATTATCTATTTATAAATTTATCTATTTTTTTGCTTGTATATGTTATAAGTATATAATATATGTTTATACTTTTATTTTATATACAGCCGGATGCGTTGCAGCTGGCTGGATATGCATGTATATGCATATGTATATTGTGTATGCATATATTTGCTATGTTAGAGTGTTGATCATTAAAGAATGCATCGCACCGGCATCGCGGAGGTAATGGGTTTGATTCCCGTTGAAGCCTGAAATCATTTTTTCAGGTCTTTCTTTACAGCGTTCGCCTAGATCGCTTATTCACTGTGATGATCAACACTCTAACATTATTGCACTACAGTTCTATCCATTCAATTCACTTGTGTACGTCATTTACTGTATGTGTATATTTGTTTTGTAGATTGTGTTTTATAAGCTCTATAGGTAAACTAAAACTTTTATTGACCATCTCAAATGGTTTTGATTAGCTTTTAAGTTACCTCAGTTTGGTGGCACCTAAGTTAAGGTTATAACGTTTTGTATTATATATGTATATTATATGCAATTAAGGGTGCAAAATAAAATTGTCATTTTCATTTTCGATCAATCGATCTTACTAATGCATTACAAAAATCAAGTACATCAGAAATCTATGACCTCTTAACTATAATCTATTAACTATGGTAGGGTCATTGAGTGAGAACTACATTAATTATAGAGAGACGAGATAGATTCAAATAATTCAGTGGTTGGTCATTTATGCTGAGAAAGTGCCGCAAACCTTTAACGTACTTGTTACTTTAGTTCCACCATCGTTTAAACCTATAAAGGTTTGAGGAATAGCAATTAAGTTGATGCAAATAGTGCTTGAAACTTTATGAAAGGCTTAAAGTTAATTTCACAAGCAACAGGCACAGAAAGTTGTGAGATTCTTTATAATAAAGTATGTACGGGATATTTAGTATCTATATGGGTTCTATACTTTCTACAAAGAAATATACAAAATCAAGTTAATCAGCAGCGTCATTGAGTGAATTCTACAAACGATTATAGAGAGACGAGATAGATACAAATAATTATATTAGTGGTTGGTCAGAYCATATCGAGAAAGAGCCGTAAGCTTACTTACTTACTTACTTCAGTTCTTCCATCGATTAAACCGACAAAAGGTTTGAGGAATAGCTATTAAGTTGATGCAAATACTGCTCAAGTTTTCTTGAGTCGGTGCTCCGCAACTCTTTCTGGGCTCCAGACTTGAACTTCATAGTGTTCCATTTGATCTACTAGATTGCAACTCACATATTTTAAAGACAATTCCAATTGCAGTTGAAGATATTTCAACTTTTTTTTAGCTATCAAAATGTTTGAGAATATATATGAAATATATACTTGTTATGCGGTTGTAATGTATCAAATTGAGCTGATCTTGATATGAAKCAACTTATGCAACTGCAAATTGAAAGACTCAAGAAATTCTGAGTATTGATCGGGATTTGAATTCGCGCCCTGGCGATTCCGGTGCCATTCTCTTACCACTGAGCTACCAAGTCTCTTATGAGACTTCAATCACACATTGGGTGGGTTTGTTGGCCCGATAGAAGATATCTATATATATATATGTGTGTGTGTGTGTGTGTGTGTGTGTGTGTGTGTGTGTGTGTGTGTGCGTGTGTATCTGAAATGTATATTTTTACCCACCCAATGTGACCTTATTCGAGAAAATAAACCTTTCTGAACGAAATTGCAAACAAAATGTCCATAATTCGACCGTGTATATAAAATAGTTTTTAGGTGTTATATACTTATTTCTTAGGACTTCAGCAGTTCATCGCTATGAGACAAAAGAACGTCATCTCTTTAAATTAATGGGTAATTTGCTTCAAGAAACAATCAATGATTTATACACCCGAATAAATACGAGTTGAATGATATTTCTAATGGAATTAGTATCATTTCTAATGGAGTGAAATACATTTATTCTTTAGTCGAGTACTGCAGTTTCATGACAGCGGGCAAGTTTGGGCAACTTGTCAAATATTCTGACATGCACAACGCAACACCATTTAGTAGTRGAAATAATCGCAGAGCCTGCAACTCTTTTAGAGTTACGTATACAGGGATAACACCTTAGGGGGCCAGGGACTTGGAGGAAATTATTTTTTCTGTGAGCGTCGTTGAACAAAACCGTCAGTAGATCAACACACAGCAATCACATCAAATATTACGAAGTCGTTGGCATGCAGTGCCTACTTTATCAACTGATATTTTTGGAAGCTCACATGAGCTAAGTACCACATGCATGTTGAGACCAGCCTCTCCAATTCTCCTTCTAGGTATCCCAGTCTACCCTGGCCACAGGGCCTTCTTTGTTATTGTGAAYGCGCAAACTGCGTGCGAACTACGCTATTTGCTTACGTTACACTTACCAACACAATAAAAAGGGGTAGTGCGTTGATACTACGCCACCGTTCCTTGCACCAAAGTTGCAAATCTGTAACTGAAAATATTTATATATTTTTTTCTAATTATCACATCCCACAGAAATTTATCTGATAATCCATTGAAGCAAATCGCACACAGCACGTTCTTCCACGAATCTTTAAAAACAGTGTAAGTATATGTACCGGGTATTTCTTGCAAAAAAAAAAAAAAAAAAATCAATGAACTAGTAGAAAACTATACTTTGGCTTATGTTGTAATTGTTTATTTCATAATATTTACAACTAAAAAAATGCTAAAATATTTTTTTGGTTCTTTTCCCAGGTTTCTAATCGACACCATGCTCAAACACCCTTTGCTTATTTCAACTGTGTCGCATCCCATTATCTCATTTGTCTTGTAAGAATATGCAAATCTAGTTTTAGTAAGGTTGGTGTATCAAAGCAATATCAGTTGCGCGATTTATTAATGTTAAGATTAATGAGGCGTTGACCGGCCATTGCAATGGTTAGCGATAAAATTACTAGTGCCCAAAGTATATACAAATACTTACGTGGAAGAGCTCCCTGCATGCCGTGTGTGGCTATGCAGTACATATCACCAAGTACTTCATTCAACATAGAGCGTACAACATCCACAAAACGTGCAAGTGTGTATACATAATCATGTTTTAAAAACAGCTTTGATCCGACGTACACCATCCAAAAATGCTCTTTMAATTCAAAGTCATGGGAAGCACTGGTGGCGTGCGCTGCTAATGCGCCGCCTCTCACAAATGCGGCCCGAGTTCGAGTCCTGCCGATCTCGATGTGAGTAGAGTTGTTTGTTGGTTATCTCCTGTACTTCGTGGATTTTTCTCCGTGTCCTCCGGTTTTCCTCCCTCCTCAAAAATCAACTTCTAAAATCTAATTCGATCTCTGGGCTTTCACTTAATTTGGAGCCTAGCTCTGTTGTGATTGTCACACGCTGTGATACGACAGCGAAAAGCTTTTTAGATTTTTTTATATATATATTTTAAGAAAGATAATTTTGATACCTTCTCTTTATATAGRCTATCRTCKGATTTGGAAARTTCTKCCATTATTTCTGATRACKMSKATTATRATAAAATTCTAGCCGCTTCTGGTTATATATGTAAGGTGTTAGATATTTTTGAGACCAAATGCTCCTTTTGTAAACTTGGAACATACATTTCCAGTTCTGGTRATCGATGTGAAAGCTGCCCTGCAGGTAATTACTTATGATATAGCTTCCTATAGAAGTGAGATTGGATTTATTTTTCGAGATGAAAGACTTTCACCACTGTAGTGTGACATCATATGTGAATTGATTTTGTATGATACGTTGTTCTCTCCTATGTTACAAGTGTTGTCTACCTTGTGTTTATAGAACATTTCATGTTGTGGTAGCTTGGGAGAGTGAAAACTGTCCTAAATTAGTGCGAAAGCGCTAGTACGACTATTTAATATAGAGCTCTGTCGATTTATTTTTATTTTAGGTGGATTTTACCAAAATGAGATGTTGTACACTGGTATCAAGTCACACGGCGTGGGGTGTAAAGAATGCCCTCATGGAAAATACGYTGCACCGGATAGAGCCCCAGGACGAGCYGAGACAGATTGTCAGTCATGCCCATTAGGTATTCAATGGTTTCTTATTAATAAAATGTTTGTATAAATGAATGAGTTTTAATGGCATTCTTCACGACGCATTATCGGCATGCCGATTTCATACCATAGAAGATAACTTAATAGATGAGAGCACGTCATATAGCATTTTATTTCGCATAATAACTGACAGTTCATACTGGTTCGAGCATTTTTTTATTCTAATTATGCCATTATATTGCATTTAACAGGAACGGAGCTGAATAMGTTTGCTGGTTTTCGTGCCTGTAGCTGTTTTGACGACTATTACCGACTCAATCGCTTTGAAGGCTGTCTTATCTGCACCAAAGGTTACGTATGTGTAAATGAAACAATACATTTAGAACCAGGATTCTACTGGAAGTGGAGCTCAAAGGAAATATTGGAGCAATATCAAAAGTTTTCTGCAGAACTGCAAATTACGGATAAAGACTACGATTCCAATTTCATAATGTTCAAAGGCAGCATTCCTATAGCCTATGCTTGTCCTGTTGCCGAGTCCTGCATGGGTGGTTTATATTCCCAGTGCATAGCCGGTTATGAAGGCCCTCTCTGTGCCATCTGTGCAGCAGGTTACTTTCCTTTTCTATCAACATGCGAAAAGTGTCCAACCATTCCCTGGATTGCAGGACAAATAATCCTAATTGTTGTTGTCTTCACTCTTCTATTGTTTGTCATATTAGGASAYAAGAAAGGCAAAWATTCACAGGGGAGGACATTAACTGACATTATTCTTGCACGTCTGAAAATTGTCATCGGATTCTATCAAGTGTCTTCATCTACCTTTGACTCCTTGTCCTACATCAGCTTGCCAGGTCCACTTCTTTCGATCATGAAGTATGCCAAGATGATTCAGCTTAATCTCTTGCAGATTCTCCCCCCAAGCTGTGTATCTAACTCGATGCATACAAATGCATATGCTCAGTTTCTCATCAGCATCGCCTTCTGTGCTATAGTTGTGTCCTGTTGTCTTATCGTTCTTGTTTTGAAGAGAATTCAGATAAATCGTAATAATACATTAAGCGTGTCTGCCAAGATTGACAAGATGTTCAATGCCAAAGTACAAAGCTACAAATGTTTATTCCTTGTTCTGTTCATCACCTTTCCATCTACTTGTTCCCAAATTTTCAAGATATTGCCCGAATCCTGTCACGAACTGTGTTCCCATTCGAATAGCCAATGCAGGTCGTACCTCCGAGCAGACTATTCCATCGAGTGTGATGATAAAACTCACAAAATCTATGGAAACCTCAGCAGAGTAGCCTTGCTGTACACCTTCATCTTTCCGTTGTTCTTGCTTGTTATCCTCAAGCGCGAGAGAGAAGCACGGAAGAAAGGAAATCACGAAAGCACCTTTCCTGTTTTGCAAGGAACTAAATTCTTGTATGAAAACTACTCGCCATCTTGTTGGTATTGGGAGATCCTTGAATTAATGAGAAAGATTTTGGTTTCTTTGTTTTTGATTCTGTTCCAAGTTGAAAGTCGCATGGGCTTAGGAGTGACAACCATCTTATCCGGAGTCTACGCCGTGATCTTCGCTTTGTATAAACCAATTGAAAATAAGTTTGAGCATTGGCTACAAATGCTTTCTTTGCTAGCGAGTTCTGTGAACTTCACCGTTGGTATGCTGCTGAAGATCCCATTGGAGGAGACGTCATCCAGCATTAACAGCAAAACTGATGCTCTCATAGTTACAGTTGTGCTCATGGCTGCCAACATTGTAGTCATTGGACTAATTTTAGGTAAGAAATAAGACTAACGGAAGTTGATTCAATGTGACAATTTCTGTCTCACATGCCATGCAACGTTTTTCATTTGTTGGCTGGGTAATAGAGATTTTAGAGTTGAGGGGGGTAATGGGGTAAATCGTAAATGTAATTGCATCAATTAACAAAGTCCAATATCGAGCAGTAATGACATTATTTATTTTCATAGTCTTTCTTAACAAACACGACTTTCTTTTATTGTTTTATAGTCACATACATGGCTAAAATCGTCTCAGCAATCAACGAACTAAGAAAGACCCCACGATGCAATCTTTCATGCTTTCTGAGTGTCTTGCAGCTTGCAAGCGATGCTCCTGGCATTGGAGAGAATGTTGACCAAGTTCTTGATCGAGCAGAAAAAAGTCAAGATAAGATGCTAACTTGTAATGTAGAGCGTATCCAGGAGGCTAGCTTCGATGAGGAAAATAGTACATGGGTTGATGACAAACTTGGGAACCGCCAGAGCGAATTCGGAAAACCCGAGAAAATAAAGGTCAAGAAAAAGATATAGATTCATGGATTTCTAAGAGTTAAAAGATTTTGTTACTGCGTTCAAAACTATATTCATGTTTTTTGCAACCTTATATTCGCTAGCTTAATTTGGACAGTTTTAACGTTTTTTTGCGAATAAACTATAGACATATAAACTACAATTAGGATTGTGTTAGTTATGATAGGAAGAGATAACTAGCTAAAACTAGTGCGAGATGCCTCGGTGTATTCTAATGAAACAGTCAATGATAAAATGGTAAATTATACACCATTATACACCTAGTCCTTCGTCGAAGTAAAAGAGCTCTTTTCACGGTGTATAATTAATCAATTTAGTTATTGTAGTTTGAGTTAGTCTTACAAAAATGTGTGTAGATTGATTAGAGAATGTTCAACACAAGTTTATGCATAAGTGCATGTAACAAAACAGCGCCGCAAAAATAGCGTTACATGATCTTCCCTTTATTCGTTAATATTATAACATACGTCATTTATGGTTGCTTTTTTTCTCTAGTAAAAGATTCAGAAAATAAATGTATTAATTATATGGCAAGGTTATTTCACACGCTATGATTGGTCAATTTGCGGTCCATAACTTACGGTACGGACCGAAAAATGAAATGATTCACGGAGTGTACGTATTTATGATATCTTAAAACATTCAAATCTTCATTAAAAAAKTTCTGTATGAAAATCGTCGTGAAACCTTCAATAACTAATTAAAGATAACTGAAAGTCACTGGCATTTAATGTAAAACYTATACTAATTTCAAACAAACGACAACTCTTTCATACAAGCGACAACTCTTTCAATCAAGGCTCTACATGGCGCTAGTTGAGCGATTTTGTACGACTAGAGAAAACTAGAAAAACTAACTATGCTAAAACTAAAACTACTATGTCAAACTACRAATTAAATGGTGGAGAATATCGGCTAATTCAGTAAATGAAATAAAGATAGGTTTACAAGTAGATTTAACGTAAATTTGTTATTTCAATAAGCTTACAACGTCAAGTTTGAACTTATCTGAATCGATCGGGTGAAAAMCCCAGTAGTTTCTTTCGTTAACACACTTGAATTTGAATGCATTTTTGGACAGGATATTTGGCAGTACCTTTTTTAATTGAGTCGAAAGTGTGCCGTCTTCATGACTTCTGCCATTGTGCAAATGGCGGCCTGCTTCAAACAGTCAAAACGTTGAAAATTGACGAATACTATCCATGTTCAGCGAGCCGTAGTTTTCCAAAGCTTCTCGTTCATTTCTGGAGAGAGTTTTTGAGTTTTTTCCCAATAAAAGGCAGGAAAACAAACGGAAGGTTGTAGTATTTTTCATCTTGGTKGTGAAGATCTTGAGTTTGAAGTTTGAAGGTCTTTTTTGATGCCTTTTTTGCTTTGCATTGACATGTTTTGTTAAAGAAAGCCTAACTTTTGTTAACTAGTACTTCAGAAAATTTGCTTCGCCTCTTTTTAATCTTAATACCTTGCCATATAATAAATATCTTATTAACCTCGTTTGCTCGTTTCGTAACGTAAGTTATGGATCCTCGTTTTTTYCCCCCTTTTTTATGGCCCGCGCGCTACGCGCTTGGGCGATAAGTCAGTGGAAAAAAACTCGGTCCATAATTGACGGTATGGACCTCGCACTCGGTTAATAAGAGCTATGGATCTAACTGATGTTAAAGTGCTTATAAGCCTTACTGAATGCTTTCTTGGATTTGAAAGCCATCCTAGAACAAATAAGAATGGCCTCTACTTTCTTTTTGCTTTGTTTTATCGTTGCTGTGATTCAATATGATCCAATATAGAAATTACTAAATGATGACGTCACTTAAGTGATCAAGTGAAAAGCCCAATCATCATAATGAAAATATCTTTACGAGAATTATCCCAAAATGRCGCTGCCGTACCCGTGTGGCAGCAGCATTCGGTAATGCAACTCTACAAAACACAGCTCAGCTACAATTCAGTAATTCATAAAATGCTTACAAAATCGTCAACGGGGAAAAATTCAATTCAATGATAATTCTTAGATTTTAAAGCAAAACTATTCTCTTTTATCGTAAAAAAAAAAACGCATATATTATAAGCATATTATTAATATTATATATTATTAAGCGGAGCTCTACTCCTCTCAACGGTTGAACCTCGACTGAATAAATTTAGGTTTTGACCCTTGATGCAAAACAAACGAGTGTCTTAACAATAGCAACTGTTTTTTTAGTGGTCTCATTTGGCGAAATGTCTGATGATGCACACATGGTATCCTGTCAATATGAATAAAACTCTTCACATGTTATCAATTCAACGCTTTCTCGTTAACCTTTCGATCAAATGAAACAACAGATGCACCACAGGAAGCCCGTCAGCAATATACAAAGCAATCAAATGAATCAAATACACCACAGGAAGCCCGCCAACACCACACAAAACAACTCGATGAAATAAAATCACCACAGGAAGCCCAAGAGACTCAGCTATAGGAACTGTCAGGGCTATTACATAAATTAGTAACTAGTGAAAGCATGGAGAGGCCTATCCATCTGAACATCCAACAAGAGGAAGACAGGAGACAAGAGAAAATGAATGCATGCTTGTTCTTCAAAGCTAAAGGTCACATTCGACGTGATTGCTCTTCATTGAAACAACACCAGGAAAAAGCGGAAAAGGCGCTCCCGAATGCCCTGGGGAACGTCTGAGTCATGACGAAGGGCAACAAGATAACAGTGACAATACATCAAACAAGTTACGAGTTTCATCAAGACATATGTATGGTTTGTACGTTAAAGGTTTTATCCACAGCATATGTGTAAACTGGTAGTAGACACTGGTGCAGTGAAATAAATTCTGTCACGTGACATTGCTGAACAGGTATCAAGGGACTCAAATGTAAGGTATGACAATGAAAACACCGATGTTTTTCTAGCTGATGGAAAGAAAATCGACATTTGTGGTTAATGTTTAGTAACTGTTTCAATGGGGAAGCAAGTTATGAATGTCAATGTTCTTATTGCTGATATAACAGACCAAGCTGTGATGGGTATTGATGTCCTATCTGAAGCAATCAAACTTGCGTGTCATAGAGCCAAGCAATAACTCTAAGCAACTAAATAAGGGACTTTGTGTTGCTCGTACACTGGTAGACGCTAGTAAGTCAGATACTGTTCCTTTGAGAATTTTTAACTTGACAGATGAGCCACAGATAATCCAATCACTGTAGTTGCCATAGTGACGCAAGTTCAAAGAGTTGGCGATTTTGAAAATGATGATGGTAAACATGAGAAGGAAATGGGCGGTGAAGGTGAATTGCCGAGGCCATTGAATGGTTTACTTTCTCGAAGTAGCACATTTCTCAATGGTAGTGGCCGCACAGTCTGATGTCGTCTGGAGAATTTAAGACAGCCAAGCATAAGCCCAAGGTAGTCTATGTGGATCGTCTCATGCCATACCTTGGTCCACCATTGAAAAGTCATGAGTTGGATAACAGAGGAAAGATTGGGAGGAAAGAAGGATGAAAGAAAATATAAATGTAAGAGAAGAAAGGAGGATAAAAGAAAAGAGGGAGGGAAGAAAAGAAAGGTAACTAAAAACCCGAAGGCCAAAGAAGAGAAAGATCTCAGAGAGCAGCAAACACATCAAAAAGAGAGGAAGACAAGGAACAGAATGAAAGAAAAAGGCCGGAAAGAACAATAAGATCTCCTAACAGATTTAGTGATTGGATTAGACATAACTCGGAGATTTCAAGAGACAGTAAACATTAACATGACAACCTTATTAAAGTTACAGAGCTGATTCATCAGGAAAATTAACAAGTCAATGAAAGTTACGGAACTGACAAGTTATCAGGAAAGTTGAACAATTTCGATTTGCGGAGAGTGAATCAAATCTACATGAGAATGTGCACAACTTGTGTAGCATTATGACCAGTGCCCAAACAGAATAAAGTCGAGTAAAAAAATGTTCAAGAAGACAAAACAATGTTAAATGTTAGACTCTGAACTGTGATTGATTAGTTATAAACTTTTATACAATTGACATCGCCAGAAATTTCGGACATCACCCGCGCGGAACGCCTGGCACATCTCAATATTTCTGTGCTACCGACCGTAAAATTTTACAAAAGAATGTATGTGAATCGAAATGTTTTTGCTAATTTTATTGATAAAAAGGGACATTTTTAAAAATGTTTAGGCGGGAATCGATGAAGTGAAGCTTCAGCAACTTGAGAATGTCGAACATTTCAATCAGAGGTAAAATTTCATGTATACTTTTTTGAAAACAAAATCGGCTCTGAGTCGCTCTGAATTACAAGAGACTGTGGGCGTCCGTTCATCACAGCCGCTAAGTGTRGTCATAAATTATAGTTTTGAGCAGAAACAAAGCAAAAAGTTACAAATTTATACCCTGGAACTCTTTCCTGAAATGATCATAACACTCACTATTCCTTCTTATTCCGTGTCGTAAGTACTTTGATGTATACTTTTTGCTTTTGAAAAACGCCAATAAATCCATCCACTGAAATCCTTCATAACTACAGGCTAAATCTTCTGAATTCGGCTGAGTTCAAAGTTCGGCTGAGTTTTTCTCGAAAAACCCATCGTTTGAAATCTTGTTCCTCAAATATTACATTCAGCTAAATGTTTCAGCGGTAAATGTCTTAAAACAGTAATTTGTTCCATAGTAAAAAGGACCCTAGAAGACCCCTTCTCTGTGAGACCACGACTCACTGTTTAGCAGTTTCAGATTTCGCGCGAGTTTCAAAAAATTCAGCGGAAAAATCATTAAACTAGAGATAAAATCCTTTAGATTTTCCTATACGACTACACTTACCGGTTCCAGACGCCATTTTGTTGGCAAAAAAAATTAGGTTTTAGGGCCCTGGGAGTAGATTGGAAGCCGTCCGAAAGACTTGTCAAAGCAGGTAATTTAAACCTCCATTTCTAAGTAAATACTTAATGCATTTAAGTAATAATGTTGCCATGGAAACGGCATGTGTTTTATGAGACCTCAATTTCCAATTTTAAGAATAAATTAAACCCATTCGAAGGTAAAATTCAATGCTGTGTTTCTCATAMACGTCAAACTTAATTTCCTTAAAACTTTCGTCAATTATAAAGTATCTTTTCTGATTTAGAAAAATAATAATTATTGTTAGTCTATTTTTTTGAAAATGAAATATTCGTGCCTTCATGTAACAGATACATCAACTGTTTTAGCAACAAGCTAAAATGGCCAACATATTTTTTGGTCGTTCTCTAAAAGTATTGCAGTCCTAATATAGAGGCTTGGTGAGACGTTTTCTGAGACATTGAATTTACCAAATCCTGCAAAATCTCTGCGGTCACAATCATCGTTTGTCCGTGGTTTGTCAAATTATAAGACCTAAAATTGTAAATTAAGGTCTCATAAAACACTTGCCGTTTCCATGGCAACAGTACATTTGGTGACCAGATTGTGGTTGTTTTTGTGCATCCCATAAAATGGCCTACTCG